CCAATTGCCCATTACAATAAAACTCCACTCTTAGATGAGACTTGTAAAAGGCACATGAGGGAATAAAAGCATATTTACCATAACTGCCATGAATCAGGACGACCACAGCCACAACTAGAAGTACTTTCATGGCTGTGAAAAAGTTCTCCAGTATCAGACGAACAGTGAGCAGTGCTGCGTAGCATATGATCAGAAAATAAAAGTTCTCACTATTTATCTATGAGGCAGTGGAGGAGTGGCTTTCATTTCTTTGTTTTGCAGGAAGTAGGTTCACATTCTGGAAGCAAAAGAAAAAAACAATCCATGCAAATCCTTACACAGCCGAGAATAAATAATTATAAGTGGCTCAATAAGCCGTATTATATGTCTGTGGTCTTGACTTATGTTTGCTGATGAGAATTCACGCGTGAAATATTATGTAAGTGAACTGCAAATGGGGAAACAGAAACCTGCTGCTGCTCCAATAATCAAATCCTCTCGCAGCACGTCACTTGTCTCTGAGGGGAATGAGAGCCATCATGTTTTCAGGCTGAGCCTCTCGGCTGGTGTGTCTCTGATGACTTTCACTGGAATTGGAAAGAAGTTCCGACACGTTACCACAGAGCTTTGAAAATCGCTGGTGTGATATCTGATGCCGGACAAGCAAACATTTTACGCTTCATTTTCTGTGACCTTTGATTCATTAGCTGTTAACCAGAGCTGAGCAGGAGACAGAATCGAAAGAGACTCGGTCTGTCAAGCTCTCACAGATACTTTGCGCCTACGCACACTTGCACTGGACATCTGTAGACTGAGCGACTCTGAAGTATTATATTTTCCCTCGCAGTCAGATATTAAGCTTTGCTGCATCTACCGCAAACCTCTGTACTTAAAGCATATTACTGTTAAATATAAAAATACTTCTTAGAAACCTGACCAAATACCCTTTATCTACAGGAGCTCTGAGGCTGGTTAACAGCCGTTTGTTATGGTGAAGGCTTCTGCACCTGATTCCTTGTGGTTATACAGAGTGCGGTGTTCTGTTCATGGGTTAGTTACTCATCTTTATTGGCCATAGTGTTTGGATTATGGGCTTCTTGTTTGGATGGTATCCATAATCAATATCAATTATCCACTGGGAGTTTTAATTATATAAGATAGGTGACTCTTTATTTATTTTATTTCAGGTTGACTTGTAAGAACTCTGGCTCATTTTTGTTGTATTGATATTGATCAATATATTTATGTCACTACTTCTACTAATAACAATAATAATAACAATAATAACACTAATAATAATAACAACAATAATAATAATAACAATAACAACAATAATAATAATAAAGCTTTACTATCATGTGGGGCTAAAAACATTGTATCCTTTTAGTATCATTTTCACATAATGTATTTTATTTCATTAAGTCCAGAACGTTATTGTTTAAATGTGTGAGTGTATTATGATAATTTATTTTTATATATTTTTTTATATTTTTGTCAGCACTGTTACAGCGTAGTGTGTTTTACTCGCTTACATTAAGTTCTCTGTACTGTTTTCATGCACACTTGTTATTTAACAGTACTGATTTATAGTTTCTGACTTTCTGAGGTGAAATCTCTAAAATGCTCTGAGATCATTTGTTTCTCTTAAGTTAAGATTTTATTTTAAATATGACTTCATGATCCATCCTGGTGTAGTGGTGTAGTTCCACAACATCCCCAGCAGGAAGCAGTGTGGAGGGGGAAGCGTTGCCACCGGAAACAGTTAAGAACAAGGCGGAAGTAGTGAAAAATATCACCGAACATATTTGCTAGCCGCGCGGACACATCCGAGGCGGGTATTCTGAGTCAAATCTCCATATTTCTGACAACGGTGGAGTGGACATGGACAGATAGTGTTTGTTTCATCGGGTGAGTTTGTCATTTAACGTCTGAATTCAAGATACAGCGAACACAAGACAGCGGTGCTGGATTAGCTGCCAGATTAGCCTGTGCGGCTAACGTCACATCTCGGTAGCGGCTATTGTTTTTAGCACATAATGTTACGTTAGCTTCGGTTTTTACCTGTTTGCTTCATTTAATTAAGATGCACAACAACCGAATGCTTTCCTTTGTTACGCCCGTGTTTTATAAACGTGGTGTTGGTTTGCTATTTCTGAAATATCGTTAAAACATCGATAACGTTGTTTAACGGCTAAACCGCTACATGGGTCTCGAAGCTAAACAGTTAGCAAGCGTGTCTGTAGGAAAGTGGTGAAAGTCGTAAAGATTTTAAAAACAGTCTGCACAGCACTGTTGGAAACAAATGTATAAAATGCACAACAGGAGGAAGATTAAAACTTAAGTAATGCGATTAAATTAAATCGTGATTTTACTTCAGTTCCCTGTCAATTAATTAATAAGATCGAGAAATGAGCAAATTGAGTAGATAAAATAAAACATTGATAGATGTATTTATAAAGATTCTACCGTGTGGTTGAAGCAGTCAAAGTATCCCTGTTACCTAGAGATGCATAATATTTCTGATTGTACTGCAGGTTTACAGACGTGGTCCCTGTCAGAAGACAACACATCTTACCTGTGCTGATCTTGGACTCTCACTCTGGACTCAGACACAGACGAGACACAATAACTTAACTTCCCGAGGAACTCCAGAGTCCCTCCACGCTCCCTGAAGCCACCAGCATGGCTAACAGCACCACAGCGGCTGTTAAGGTTATGGGGGCCCCTGGCCCTGCTGGCAGAAGTAGTCCAGAAGGATCTCAGGTCAGTCTACTTTCAGTCACTACATTTAAGGACATTACTGCTTGACTGCTTACACTTGTGTCTGTATAGAGTTCAACCAACCAGTTAAAACTGCACGCACACACACACACACACGGGTCTAACATTTCCATGGCAAATAAGGGCTACACAATTGTTTGGTAAAAAAGAATAACCATCCTAGTGGAGCTACATTTACCTGATGTGTATGTTGAATTATCATATGATTTTGACCATAGCTCAAGTTATTCAGTTCTCTGCTAGACAGTCTACTGTCTTCAGTGTTTGTGGCTTTAACTATTACTCCATTATCAAGAGCTAATCCTTCTTAGTATTAGAGTTGCCAAAAGAGGAGTCAGGCTCAAATGACCAGTGTGACATATATGTTTTTGGTTATTTTTTTAAAAATTGGATTGAATTTTAAAATGTGTCTCCTGTGAATTTTAGAATCAGGCCATCACTAGACTACTTTAGAGAGAGCACACAGCACACACTCTTTAACGAAGTGAATGTATTCTTCTGTTTCCTGTTTAGGTTCTTAGTAAGAAGAAGCTTCAGGACCTGGTGAGAGAGATTGATCCAAATGAGCAACTGGATGAAGATGTAGAGGAGGTCTGTCTGTGTTTTTAACTGCAGTTGGAAATTACTATTGTATTTAGTTGTTTTTTTTGTATAAGCACCGAGTAAACGTAAGCAGCAGTGCATTTTTCTCTGTGAAATGAAAACCACTTGCGTGTTCTTGCTGCCCCAAAGCGTCCCCATTCTACTGCACATCCATCATTTTGAAACTTAATTCTGTTGAAAGCTAAGCTGCATGATAAATGGTGCGAGCAGCCAAAAAACACAAGGGACTTTCCAGCTGTTGTGGAGTGTTGCTTTCCTTTACTGACCATGATTGATGGTTTTCAAAACTTCTGTTTTTCCTCAGATGCTGTTACAAATTGCAGACGACTTTATAGAGAGTGTAGTGACAGCAGCCTGTCAACTGGCTCGTCATCGCAAGTCCAACACCTTGGAGGTGAAGGATGTTCAGTTACATCTTGGTAAGTTGCCAGTGGCTTTTTTGCAAGGTTGTTCCACTGAATATTTTCACAGAGTTGGATTAAGTTTGTCTCTTTAGGTCACACAAATATATCCTGCATGATGTCTTCTTAAAAAATGGTTGTATCAGGACGTGTATGAATTTATGCCCCCTGTTTCATTCCAATTTGACGTGGGGATCATTGATTTTTAAATCTTTTATCCTTTTTAAAATTTTACGAAAACTTTTAAACAATTGTTGGACGTTGGAAGTAGATTGTGGCAGAGTGATAGAAAGAGTTTACTCACAGGTATATTGGTGTCTGGTCTGAAGTCTTCAACAGCTCGTGTAGTTTTGATGGTGTGCAATCATTTTTTATAATTTAATTTCCCCCAGAACGCCAGTGGAACATGTGGATTCCTGGTTATGGCTCAGATGAAATCCGGCCGTTCAAGAAGGCTTGCACCACAGAGGCTCACAAACAGGTGAGTGATAGAATGTTTTTTTTGTGTTGGATGTGTTAAAGTGTGCACAGGTAGAGAAACTGTTCATTTTTTACCTTGCATGCGTCTGTAATATCAACCTGTTTTGTATTGGAATGAACATAAATTATTGACCTGACATTTTTCTCCTTTGTTTCATTTCAGAGAATGGCGCTGATCCGTAAGACAACCAAAAAATAACAAGACTGTAAACTCAAATTCTGACCCTCTCTGTCTAATGTCTTTTCTTTTTGGATAGTTTTTATTTGATTTTTTTCCCTTTTTAAATGGAATCTTTTGGAGTAAGGGTAAGAAAAGGGGGGTATTTGTTTCTTATGACATTCGTGATTCATTGCTATGTCTCTAACATTTGAGTGTTTTGCCAGGACCATCACACAATTATGTAATTATTGTCTCTGATTCTGTTTTGTTTCCATCAAGCTAATCCTGGCAGAACGCTGTTTGTTGCATTTTTGTGAATAAACATTTACTGGAATAATCCTTGGATTGTGACCACTGCTGTATCCAGTGTGCCTTTTGATACTATGAGCATTTGTATGCAAATGTTACAGATTCTTCTGCCTCCTTAAAACGATCTTTGGTGTTATCTTGACAATAATAGATCATCGTAAATTTTGAGTATGTAAAATATCTGGTCATCGCTGTTTATCTAGTCTTATAATGCTGTTTATCATAGTTTTAATGATAAGAAATTCCTGTACGGCAAATAGTGGCCACACATACAGTAAGTTATTTTCCTTTGTTGTTAACATGTATTTTCTGTATTGGTTCTTAGTGTTGTAGGTTTTATTACACTTAATTCAACAGTTGTAAATTCTGCATTGAAGTTTGCCTAATTTACCAAATTGGTTTAAAACTATGGTAAAAGAAAAGATCCCCAGATTTTGACTTTTCACAACGTCTGATTAAAAAAACAATTATAAATAAATTACTGATATCAGAAAAGGAGACGCTTTGGAGTATAGCCTCTGTTGCCACACTGAAGTTAGCTAGGACATACTTACGAAAGGGTTAACTTCAAGGGGAAAGCATTTGAATAACTAACCTAATGCAAGTTATTTGCATTTATTTCAATGAGATTCTCCATATTTGTGATTGACAATCAGTAAAGTTAAAGAAATACTGCACTAATGTACTGTCCATGAAAAACATTTAATTTGAAAGGGTCAAATGAAAGCAAAACATTAAAAAAAAGTTGAAATAGAGTCATGGTACTTGCTGTATATTTGCTGTCAACCAAGGACACAGATCAGTGTCTTTAACTAAATAAACCTCTGCAGAAACACAGGAGGTTGCTCATCAGCCAGATGAACATTAGTTGCTATGGAAACCTTACAACATTTCAAAAGAACAATATCCAAAGGCACCCCAGAGTTTTCTTTTAATTAATTTCAACAAAGGCACCTAAAACGATCAGTCACACGCAGGATGCTGTGCAGTTATAGGTGACAACAAAAGCCCTTTCCACACAACAACCCAGGTCCAGATGATTAGTTCACATAAAGGCCTGAGGGGATGTTTATAATCAACGAGGGGACCCAATAACTTAACTGCTGCCATTTATTGACAGAACAAACAATACAAGTTTCACAGATTTATGTAAGGTTGGAGGTAAAAACTGAATTTCCTTGGTCAGCAGTTCCAAAACCTTTTTGGGTTGCGTGTCCTCAAAATGTTTACTTACACCCCCTGTTATATTTTGAACCATTCGTAATTTGGGATTTCTAAAAGCGATGCATAAAATAGCCCTACTCATATATCATACGGACCCTGGGACAGCCCAGACCTTCTGGGTTGAAACTACTACCACTTTTCTCACGGGTCTCAAAAGGTCGTAGACTCAGAGGAAGGGAAGATGAAGACAGAATGTGGTGGAAACAAACATCTGATCTGAACGAGGGAACAGCTCCAGCCTCAGGAAGTCATCAAGTCCGTCTTTTTACTCAAGCACGGTCAAGGTGTGACCTGTCAGTCCGATCACCTGTGGCCCATGGAGCTCACATAACAGAACACTAATCTTTCTGCTGACTGTTGCCAGGGTACACTTTGGGCCAAAATGCTATTATCACACTTTGCTCACAGAGACAATACTAACATATTTATATTGATATTTAAACGCATATATCAATATACTAGACTAGTACTAAATAGTGCAAATGAGGCTTAGATTCAGTTTTATATTTCTAGGACCAATAAGTGGTGGACACAGAGCCATGCAACTAGCTCCACTAAACCGTTGTTTTTTTAAGATCACAAAAAGTTTCAACAAATCAGTCCCTTGTTAACGTATTGAAGTTTGTATCCTCACAACAAAAGGTGCTAATGGATTTCATATGGGTGAGTTTGCTGATGGTCACCACTAAAATGCCAGAGTCAGTCCACAGTTCAACCACAACACTTCTTGTTGCTGTTGGAGGGTGTGCTGGCCGGAGCCTGACTGGCTCTTTGCAGCTGCAGCTCCTGCGGGGCAGCACACTTGACTCCGTCCCAGCCCTCCTGAAGCTCCACCTCCCCGCTCAAAAGACCCTGATAGACACGACGGGCGAGGAGTTCGAAAGACTCCTTCACATTGTGGCCCGTCTTGGCTGAGGCCTCTAGGTACGGCATCCCCAGCTGCCCGGCCAGTTTCTGGGCCTCTTCTCGACTCACCGCCCTCTCTCCCACAGCGTCGTGGTCGCTCTTATGTCCCACCAGGACGAACATAACCTTGTGCGGCTGCACTCGTTCGCACACCTCGGCGTGCCAATCCTTGATATGGTCAAAGGAGGCGCGGTTGGTCATGTCAAACACCAGCAGGCCTCCGACTGAGTTGCGGTAGTAAGAGCGGGTCACTGACCTAAGAAAAACACAGATGGAAGAAAGTAAATGTTAGCGCTTTCACATTCACCCATTTACACAGACATTGAAACAACACTTCTATATGCAGTGCTTTTCTATCACACACCATCCACACAGCCATCAGGAGCAATTTCAGTGTCTTGGAAGGACACTTCATAATACAGACTGGAAGTGCCAGAGATCAAACCACAGACCTTCTGGTTAGTGGACGACCCTCTCTACCTCCTGAGTCACAGCCAAAAGAATATTTGAGAGAAACCCTCACAAGGCAGTGCAGAGTTCCGTCTTTGGCACCAACTCCTGTTCCAGTGAGCAAATACTCACCTGATTGTCCACACTGAGCTGAGATCTTTTAGATAAGCACATCGAGCAAGATTCTGCTTGTGTAAGAACTTGATAACCGCTGACTTTTTCATCCTAATCACAAAACTGTCAAGCAGCATAGTTCCCCGTTGAGTCATCAGGTGTTTAAACCAAAGGAGCGGCTGAGTGTCGGATCCTCCCAGACGCCGCTTGTTGAAGAATGACTTCTCCATTAGAATACTTTGATTTGCCAGAGCTTTTAGCTGACTCATGTGTGAGTACCAGGCTACAGATACCATGCAGAGAGGAGGTAAACACAAACGGGCAAACGTTGCAATTTGCTACGGATCATTCAACTGGAGAAGATAAATAATGAATTTAGAGACCGAACGAAACAAGTTATTCGTCTGCCTTTCATGAAATATGCTTAGCATGGAGAACACCGCCTTTTCAAAGATCTGCCTTTTCCATTCTAAGCATTGCAATTACTGTTCCCTGTAAACACTGCACAGTGGTGTTGTGGGTAAGAGTGTGGATACAGAGTCATAACTGAAAGCAAACACTGATGAACAGGTTTGGCGTAACAAGGATAAGCACTGTTGGTTTACGTGGATAGTGCATCTAATTTTTTTTATTACCAGGCCTTGATCATAAAGATGTCTTGTGTAGATCTGATGTATTAAGACATTCCTTCATGGAAAGAATCCCAACATTGGCTATAACTACCACTAGTGTGGAGCACAGACACAGATGAGTTTGTCCTCACCTGAACCTCTCCTGTCCAGCTGTGTCCCAGAACTGCAGCTTGACACGGACCCCGAGCTCCACCTCCAGGAAGTGAACATAAAAGTCCACACCCACTGTCTGGTTGATGGACTCCAGGAACGAGTTCTCAGTGTAGCGCTTCAACAGGGAGGACTTGCCCACCGTGGAGTCCCCCAGCATGATGATCCGGAACTGGTACTGCCACAGAGTGAGGTCCATTGTTGGTGGTGCTGGTGAGAGTGAAGACGAGCAGGGGACAGATTTTGGCTACACAACAAAGGATTGAGGACAAGTTTTGGGAAAACTTGAACCCTGCAGTTCAGAGACTAGGAAGTCCACACCTGCCTCCCACCAGCTTGTGCCCAAAGTTTGACACAACAATAGTTGAGTAAAACCCACAGAAGCCACTCCTTATTAAAATCTCCCAATCAGAACAGAAATCTGTGTCCAGTCATCTCACGCTTCTGTTCCCATTACAGCTGCACCACAACTCTCTCATTGCTTCAGTGGCTCCTCAAATCCTGCACACAAGCGGGCACACGTAGAAAAATCTGCCCCGGTGAGTCGACTCCCAGTAGCTCTGATCAGAGCCGCTGATCTTGACTGCCACTGTAAGCATGCACATGAGTGTGCTGTGCAGGGGTGGGGACTTCTAAAGGTTTGCCTGTTGTTACTTGACAAAAGGAGGGGCAGGAGCACAGCGACACAGGGAGGGCTGTTGTGAAAACGGGAGGGACAGATGCAGGAAAGAAAAGCAGGGAGGCCTATGAGGAAGTAGTGGTTGTATTTTAAACCATGTCCAAAAGTTTTCTGTGTCCTGCTGTCACGAATTCATACATAAACATTAACAACAAAAGGGAAGTCAGTAACAATACAGCTTCTCCTGGGAAATGCTAGGAAAGACTTCTGTTATACAATCCAGTGTTATGGCTTTAATGTCTGTGATACATTATTAGAAGCACAATCTCTGGTTCACATATATACATGAAGGGAGTTTCAAAATCAATATTCAACAATAGATCATTATGAAATTTAAACCACACATGACAGCACTTCCACAAAACAGTTTTAAGTTTAAGTAAAGAACTTTCAGCTCAGTATCATCAGCGTAGCATCTGACTGGTTGGTACTTTTCTTCAGTGTGGAACTGTGATATTGCGTGATACAGTGACTATTGCAGCCTCTAGAGCAGAACGAGTTCAAATGGATTTCAATGTCTGATTTCAAACCAGACAGACACCTTCAGTGATTCTACTACCAGAGAAAAGATGCACAAAGCTAGACCATAAGTGAAAGTAAAGGCTGTAATGAAGGGGGTGGGTGTGATCTATGCATGAATTTATAGTTTTCCTGTCACAGGTATTGACAGAAAGCAGAACTTACCAAGATTCGCCGCTCGACTAAAATGAAGGCCAGACTGTCATGAGAAATAAAACATTTATTTATTGAGGATAAACGCATATATTTCCATCACACATGCATCAGAACCTCATAAATATAAAAATATGCTTTTCTTTTCTTACATTTGGGTCACCGACACATAATGACAGCAATAATTTAAGAGGATTCTTCAGCAAAATGTAACTTGGGGGCTTGATGCTTCCCATCTACATTTGGCTGCTACTGATGCTTTGAGATCAAATTTAGGTCAGATTTCCATTTTCTTATGCCAAGCCAATTCTGTTGACTCAAGGGTCATTTGAAGTTGGCTGGATTCTGGGATGACTGGATCGGTAGATTTCATTTTAAAAAGCTGAGGGTCACATGAGACAGTAAAAGGCAGCGGAGTCGGAAAACAATATTTGTTAATGTCAGTAGCTCAAAGGTTCAAAAACAAAAGCAGGAAGTCATGCAACCAGAGCCAGTGACTCAGGGAATAAAAACTAATAACAACACAAGTTTGCCTACAACAACTTGCATGCAGAAATGAAATCCCAGCACCCTTGTGATATTCATACTTAAAACAATTCACCTCATTACAACAGGGAAATTCATTCATCCCACAGCCACAAAAGTGCAACGTTGTGGTCCTGTTCTGTGAACAGATTTGTTTGGAATAGCATATAAAGTTGTAGTATTTAGAACAAAACGTAAAATAATCTCAGACCAGAATGACACGTAGTTTATACACATTGTGTAGTAACCCTGAGGGCTATGATACGCAAGAGGGGGAAAAAAATCATTGACACATTAAATAAAGAGGCAAACACATAAATACAAACACTTGTCAGAAAACACAAGCAAAATATCGACAATGAATTTCACATAAAGCTAAGTCTGTTTCCTTTCAGTATTTTAACTCCAACAAAAACCTGATTGCACAGACCCTGACTCCCACTGTAGCCATTTGTCACTGTTGCTAAGTCTTCATTACCTAACTGGAAAATACATTGTCCATTTCCTTATGTGTTTGACCAAACATACAGATAAAACTGATTTTCCATATATTTCTCACACCATTTCCCCATTGTCTTTATACTTTCTCTCCAATGTCCATATTTGTTTTTACTATAATCCCTGTAAACATTTCATTTCAGTTTTTGCTCATAACAGCAACTTTGAAGCACCAACAGAGATACCAGCATAACCCCCCTTTACCTGTCCACAATCGCTGATTCAGATCTAAAACTATGAACCAAACATATTTTGGTTTATAACGTTATTTATCCAGCTTTGTATTAATCTGCTTCAATGACAGAAACACAACTCTACAACTACAAAGAGGGGAACCTCAGCTCTGACATCTCTACTTCAGGGGAGCTGTTTTCGCTGCGGTCGCTGTAGGTGTCCCTGTAATAGGAAACACAAAGACTATTATAGCAGTTACACATGACAGGGACGACTTTGATGTGGTTGTAGGTGCAATGGTGAATTTACAGTGTCAGGAAAAAACACTGAAATAACTTGCATGCTTGCAGTAGTGAGGGGAAAAAAAAAGAACAGTTTCATTTGTATTTTTGAACGAGAGCACTGCGCTGTGCGGGAGCTCACCGTGGAGAAAGGCGACAGCCCTTGGCCATGTAGCTCTGGAGTTTTCCTGCAGCAGCCAGCAGGAGACCAAAGTATGGAGGAGACGGTTTGATGGGTCTGGAGGTGAACTCTGGATGGTACTGCACTCCAACGAAGTAACAGTGTCCTGGGACAAACCCACGGGTGGATTAATAAATGTTTTTGATTTACACTTCAGTTCTCATGCCGCACAGTCAGTATGTGACAGAGCAGAAGAAATAATTGTACATCAACACCAAAGCAAGTTTAAACAGAAAACATCAACAGCATGTGGAGGCTTGTTTTGTAATATTTCTCACTCACCCTCCAATTCAATGACCTCCATTCTCTCTCCCTCCACATCCTGACCAACAAAATTGAAACCCTTTGTTTCAAAATGGTTCTTCAGCTCAGGATTCACCTAAAATGAGAGGAGATCATTCAAGATAGGATTTAAGACTAATAAAAGACATTTTATAATTCAAAACAAAGATTAAAAGGGAGACCCAATTCCCTGAAATATACATTAGCTGAATATCAGTTGTAGAATATACATTTGTTTCCCTTTAAAAACAAAATTTGAATTAATAAAATATTCAAAGGTTTGCTTTCCCAGTCAAAAAGCTTATTTTCATCTCTACCTCAAATCTGTGTCTGTGCCTCTCCTCAACATATTCGAAATCTCCGTACAGTTTTTCTGCAAAAATGAATTAAAGAGTCGTTAGAAACACAATCGTCTTTACAAGCCAACAGCCTGACACTAAATCCATGTAGACACATACTCAGTACACTGGTGTTGGATTTGAAAATCGTCCGCCTCTTCCCCAACCGCATAGTCCCACCCATCTGCCCTGGGTTGTGCTCCGGCATGTCAATCACCTGCCGAGATCCAACAGGATATTAAAACTGTTCTGTTGAAAGACTGAAAATCAAGTGATACGAGGACAGCACCAGAAAAAGAACCTACCACGGGGTGTTCGGAGTCTGGGTTGAATTCTGTGGAGTTTGCATCTGAAAAAGAAACTAATCTCAGCTTAGACGAACTTCTTTAGGGCTCAAGCTCTTTCAGCATCAAATTAGAAACCATAGGAACTAAATGTTTCTGGATTGTTTGCAGAGATGAACTGCACAATTACTCACCTTCCCATCCTAGAACATTACGGGCAAACTCGCACACTGCCAGCTGCATGCCCAAGCATACTCCTGCATAAAACAAGGACAGCAGGATTCTTGCATAATGAGAGGTAATGTAAGGACTCATAAATAAAAGAAAGACTTTAACAAGATCCCTACTGTGCAAACCACTTACATGGCTAATGTTACCGTCTTTGCATATTATTATACTGTGTGAACTCAAGACACCTTGAGCTCCTGTCACCCAGACCACATTTGGAGGGGTTCACATTTTTTTTAGCAGTGTGAATACAAATGTGTCCTGGGCCACACTGAGACATCATTTACTCAGCTGACGTCCTCATCTGTTCACAATAAACCACAAGTATTTCACATACATTGATTTATTTGTGACAGCGCCACAATTTTAACATTGACCGCCACAAATTGATTTTGGCTGTGCACAGTTCACTGATTCGATCACTTTTCATTATTTGTAGCCTTGGCTCTCTGGCAGAAGCAGATTTTTCTTAAAGATTTCTCTTAATTTAGTTGAAGTCATTTTACCCTTCATAAACCCTCCAGGGGCGTGTTCACTAAAATATCCCTACAGCATGTTGCAGCCATGCAGTTGACAGGCATTGATTTTTATTATGCAACTTTTAAATCCTCTGGGCTACACCAGTGATGGATGAGTGTGACAAAGTGGTTCATTACTTATATAATCAAATATATTTTATTTGATTTTGAACTACACTTAATATTAATTTGAGAGGCTTGTTGTGACTTTTCTGTCAGAAAATGAACAACATCTACTGCGATTCAGTCGAGTTAAACAATAAACAGCCTAAAGCAGAAAGTACTTTTAAAGACACTTTATCTATTAAGTTAGTTGTTTTATTCACAAACATTGACACTGCAATGGAAATATGAAGCTGAATCTTAAACAGGCTAGAGTTTGATTTATGTCTAGTCTGTATTTGGCTTATTTAAAAGCCTGCATTTTGAAATACTGGAGGCAGAATTTATGAGACAAAGTATTTCTGAATTTCTCTTACCAAGGAATGGCTTATTCTGCTTCCTCGCCCAGCGAATAGCCAGCATCTTTCCTTCCGTCCCTCTCACACCAAATCCTCCTGGTACCAACACACCACTGTGGGAGGAAGAAAATATTGACAGCTTGAGTTCATCCTATAAATAGAGTCCAGTCCAGAAAAAAGTACACAACACATCCTCTCAGAATTGTAATAGGAACACCTGCACATTTGAGTGTATTCATTCATTATCAATTCCAATAGCCATGTGGCGGCAGCGTAATGCATTAAATCACACACACACACACACACACACACACANACACACACACACACACACACACACACACACACACACACACACACACACACACACACACACACACACACACACACACACACACACAGGTGAGAAGCTTGAGTTTCTGTTCATATCAATAATGTAATGTGAATAATAGTGATGTGAAAAACAAAAAAACATCATGTGAGTGGCAGTTCTGCAGATGAAACCTCCGAGTGATGAGGCCAGAGACTCTGGTTGGAGCTGAAAGAAAAGCTACCAGAACTCATATTTACAGTGTGTTCAGAGGAAAAGCATCTCACAATGCACAACATGTGAAATCTTCAGATTATACAACAGAATACCAAATATGGTCCCACTCCTGTCAGCCAAGAATGGAAATCTAAGGCTGCAGTGGACACATTATCAACAAAACCACAGCTGAAGGGTGGAAAATGTAGTCTGATGTAATGTGGTCTAATAAAACTGGATTTCTGCTGAGGCACTCAGACGCTACAGTCAGAATTTCGTGTCGACATCTTGAATCCATGGACCCAACATGACTGGTGTCAACAGAAGAGGCTTTGAGATGTTGAGGGTAAGAAATGATTGCTGAATATCTAATTATAGAAGGACACACTGATTATCACAACATGCTTTTGTTGCCTTGCCAACAAACAGCCCCACGTTACCGCTCAGTTAAAAATGAAGCTCCCAAACATTTCACTGAGGTATGGAAGCACTGGCCATGACAGCGCTCGACTGTCATTTAGTATGAGTATCACTGTATCACCAATGTCAAGCTTCATATCAAGAGATGTTATTGTTCATATCTTCCGAGCTGATTGGCAGCCGGGTTCTCCCTGTTGAGTCTACTCACTGAGAGCTGCAGAGTTTTTGCCAGGCCTCGTGATATTTCACCGGTTCATCTTGCAGAGTTGTATTCTCCAGGTCTGCAGAGTCTATGTACTGTAACAACAAACACAGCATTTGGAGGGAGATCAGTCAGCATCACAGCCAACAGACAGAAAGACAACACAAATACAGTCACATGTACGGCACTAAACCAGTTCTCGAACAGAGAAGACCAACTACAAAGCAGATACTGAATCCAGAAATCAATATACAGAATTTAAAAGCGTGAAATTCATACCTTGACCTCCAGTTTGTGATTTATTGCGAGGGCTGAGTGCTCAAGGGCCTTGATAACTGAAGTGTAGGAGTCAGATAACTTTGTATACTTCCCCACAAGGGCGATGGAAACATGCTCCAGGAGACGGTCAGATCTGAAATAAAAAGGAGGAGGATTCTCAGAACTGACCTGGTGCGTTATTTGAACATTACCTCACAGCTACTTCATGAACAATTTAATGTTCATTGGATTTTACCACCACTTCCTCTGTGCTGTAGTGACTGAGAAACACTTTTCTGTCAGAGTTCAACTTTTTCTTTTCTTACTAACACAATTCCTGGAGGTAACAAATCGTCTCTTTGGTTAAACTGACTTTTCCGTTACTGAAAAACTGAATACAAGAGTCAATACTCTCACTTTCTTCGAGCAAGACTGAAACCTAGAAAAATAGTAAGTGACGGAGACAAACTTCCTCACCTGTCGGCCATCTCCTTCCACTTCGTGAGCATCTTTCTGGGCCTCATTATCTCCACAGGGAGGTTCAGCCGCTGACAGAAGTAGCTCACGACACCCTGTTCCTCCAGCAGCAGAGGCACTCTGTAGACTGAGGACACATCCTGCACACAGACCACCTGGAGACAATGATAGAACTTGTATCATTAGTTTGAATTTGAGAGTTGGCTGATAAACAAATAAACACAATTTCCAACATGTTTCAGGCAAGCAACCTTCATTTCATTTCCACCAGGAAATACAAGAAATACACTAGTTCTTATTCATAACAGATGTTGACAGCTTACTCTACACACATATGAGGTTGTGGGTTATTGTTTAGAAAAATAAATAAGTCACAGTACCTGTGTGGGCTCTACATGACAGAACATGGAGATCTTCTCCTTGACAGCAGTTTCTAGGGGTGATGTACAGCGGCACATAATCTGTCAAAAATGAGGGCTCATTTTTAAACCGATTTCACAGCAGAACCAAGGTAGTCTGAAAGATTTCTATCCAAACACGTTATCTTTGCTTGTCAACACAATGACATGAAAACATAATAATAACTAATAATTACAGATTCCTCGGCACATTAAGGGAAATATGGATGGACCAACTTTAAGAACAAATTGTAAATCAAACTCACCAAGTCTGGAGACAGGCCGAGCCCTCTCAGCTCTCGGACACTGTTCTGGGTTGGTTTGGTTTTTTGTTCTCCTGTGGTGCTGGGCTAAAGAAACAAATGTAAATCAAGCAAACCATATTAGCACACATCAAATTAGGATTACTTTAATTAAATTAGAAACTAAGTAAATGGATGGTGCTGGTTTTACTTTTTATTTATAGACTTTCTTCCAAAACAGGAACAAAAATACATAACTGTGTTAACAGCCTGCTGTCTGTTATTTGGGGATGAATACATAATGTATGTGTCTGTGTGCCATACCTGTGGAACCAAGCTGACGTGGATGTTGCAGAAGTTTTCTCTCTTCACCTTGAACTGGAACTGTCTGAAGGCCTCGATGAAGGGCATGCTCTCGATATCCCCCACTGTGCCTCCCAGCTGTTGACACACAAACACAAGCTGAGAACACAGAACTGCACGCACGGATACAGTTTGCTTCTCAGCACCCTCACAGACTTGGCAAGTACAGACTGCCATCAGCTGCACTGAGCCCATAATACTGTCGGAGCTGCTTTTGATGCATGCCATATAAAAAAGAACTGCTGCAGGCAGAGTAATAATTTAACTTGGTTTATGAGGATTTGACTGTTAAAATACCAGATGAAATGCCATAGCAGCACATATTGTCAAACAAACACTTGATTTATTCCACTACCAAGATTGTTTTTTTTTTTCATTCTTATAGAATTGAAACAGAGCCATGTTTACACAAGTGGGCAATGTCAGACTCCTCTCCTCAACAAATGCATTTTCAAATTCCTACAATTTTGAAAAACGTTTGCTTCACTGACACATCCTCATTTGCCAAATGGTGCCAATAATTGTATTGCTTGATGCATCCCACTTTTTTCATTTCTGATTGAAAACCCTCTGTTCTGTGTTAATGTACAAAAACAAAATGCGCTGGTCACATGTGAGCTCAGAGTGGCCTATGAGGGTTGTTGAAATATGACACTTCTCACAAACACATTGTTGTTCAGTGTGGTTTATCACAGAATACTGAATTCATCTTGACCACAAACTTACTTCTATAACACAAACTTGTGGCTCCACACCGTCATCATCTACTGAGATCCTGGCCTGCCTCATTACCCACTCCTGGATGGCGTCTGTGATGTGGGGTACCACTAAGAAAAGAGATAAATATAACTCATATTAAAAATGCACCTCACCAAAGACACCCTTTGTCCAAAATATACAAATGTTATGTTACATGTGCTGATACATTACAAATATATTAATTCAAACAGATAAGGAATAATAATTTGTGTAGTTGACCAAAAAATCTTTTTTCAACCAACAAGCTAAACACAGTCGTCTCTAACCTTGTACAGTCTTGCCGAGGTAGTCTCCTCTCCTCTCCTTGTTGATTACCGACTGGTAGATCTTTCCTGTGGTGAGGTTGTTGTCTCTGGTGAGACGAATATCCAGGAAACGCTCATAGTTCCCCAAGTCCAGATCCACCTCCCCACCATCGTCAAGAACAAATACTTCACCTGCACAACACAGGAAATATAGACATTTATCATAGAGTTAGTGAAACTGAAAACACAGTGTGAGAAAAAAGTTGTTTTCTCGTGAACACAACCATAGACTGTATATAAAGATGGATAAAATGACAGCTCCCCAAAGCACCAGCATGTCAAAGAAAGGAGGAGATATGATGAGCTGAAGTTCTGTTGTTTTTGTACTCAGTGCATCACTAATGTTCCTTCTTCAATTTTCCTCATTATCTCATGTGCGGGATGTTGTGAGGCGTCAAATTAAATCTGCAGAAGACTTCCTCTTTATTCAACAGAAATTGCCACCACACGCAGGATAAAAAAAAAACTGCAGATGACAGCAACTACACCAAAATTGAACCTTGTAAAATACGCTGCGGTACTTACCGTGTTCATATGGTGAAAAGGTGCCGGCATCAATGTTGATGTAGGGGTCGATTTTGATGGCCGTCACATGAAGGCCGCAGGACTTGAGGATTGTTCCCACGCTGCTGGCAATGATTCCCTTACCGATACCAGATATGACGCCTCCCGTAACAAGGATGTACTTCATGATGGTTTGTGATGACTAAACACAGAAACACACAAAAAAAAATACTTTTAAAAATGCACTTCTCCTCCATGTTTCCCACAAAACCTGCAAAACCACATGTGAGAGGTAGAAGTGATGCAATACAGACAATGAGCAGGGTGCTGTACTACTACTACTCCTACTACTACTACTACTACTACCACCACTATATCATGTACATACCGGTGTTTCTCACTTAATTACTATAGTATAAAGTGTTTAAATGTATAACTAAGTCAATCTGACAGATATAAACATTCTGCTTTCAAACTGGCAGGTCCAGGTTTGTTTACATGTGGAGTAGATGTCGACTCATGCAACACGATGACATTGAACCCAGTGAATCCGATCACATCCGAAGTAAAGTGATGACGAAGGAATGTTGCGTAGTTTTGTTTTCATGTCACACAAACTAAAAGGCGGGAAAGAGAGCGGGCGCGAAAATAAACAGGAAGCGACTCGTGTTAACCTCCGGAGCTTTTATCAAACACCGACGTTTTGCATTTGAACCCCAGAGTTTGTTGACTTTATCTCAACACTGAACACACAAGTTTAACAAGCTGCCACACTGGAGAGTGTAGCCTAGCTTAGTTAGCTTAGTTAGCCCCGCAAATCACCCGTCCTCCCAACCGGAGCGGTAACATTGTGTTGTTGTGTCGAGACTTGTGTGTTGTAGCTGGTTCTGAGTTAACGAGCATCTTTCCTCAGCCCACTATCTCTGCAGCATCTGTCTCCGTGAACAGTCATCGCAGCACTGAGCAACACGAACACGACTTTAATCCTACAACAGGAACACAAACTCACCGAGCGGCCGCAGACAAGCTGAAGTCAGAGTGTGAGCCGATGTTCGTGTGAGTAACTTGAACGAGTTGTTATTCTCTTTACAAAGCATCGGACACGTGTAGGACGCTGACACCTCGTGTGCTCCTCCTCAACACACTCTGGTTCCTTCCGTTCCACGCTGGAGAAGCTCTTCCCTGTTCCTCTCCTGTCAGGCAGCCAATGGTCCGCCGCCACCACCGGCTCGACCAATCAGGTGGATGGACTCAGTGTTAGGTTGCCGGGAGGTTTGCCTTTGAAGTCAAACTCTGGGGGGGAAATATAATCAATTCCAGGAAGGTTGTCGCCGTATGACGTCACAAACACTGGCGTGATCCAAGTGTTTCAAGGTCAGTGAATGTCCATGTGGAAAATCACGCAAAATATAACACGAGCAATGTTCACGCTCATCGAAACAAAACCACTTCTCTCTGTCGTTGAGTTCATGTCTCTCTGTATCTCTGCCATGATTCTGATCAGGTCAATAATCAATATCATCACATTGATCTATACAGTTACAATAATATGAGGGAAGAAGAAAAGCAGGTTGCAGAATTAGATATAAGATATATGTATAAGAATGTCGAGATATTATTAGTTATGTAATCAAATAAAATGTGTGTCTCATCTGTTACTGTATAGACATACATTTTACTACACAACAAAAAAAATAGTTTTAACAATAATAATTTAGATACACATTTGCAATTTTACAGCAGCAAGTGTAGTAAAAGAATACGTGTTATGTGTAAGGAAATATAGATTATATAGAAATAATACATGAAATAGAAACTAATATATACAGTGTAAACATAATATGTACAGTGTGAGAACACGTCAGGTGAAATAGATTGCACATGAACCAATGTAAAATGAATATTGCACTGTTCAGAGAGTGAGACCTGAGTTAATGTACATAATAATAATGATAATAATAATAATAATAATCCGAATAATATAGTTTCAAGATACTCAGACTTTATTTGGTCTTTTAAAGAAAGACTGAAGATACAAACATACAAACGTAACATAATTAAACATCTGAAGCTTAATCTCAGCACCAGGTGGCGTATGTGTGCCATGAAGCACCATTCACTGTAAATCTAGGCTAAATTGAGCATTGACATGCAGAGGATTATTCACAAATAATGAACTCAGTGAATTTACGGCACTAGGCTTCAGTTATAACAACGTGGAGATTAATAGTGAACAGGCACTCTGGTATTTCTGGGCCTAGTCAGGTGAGGAACAATAAAATAGAGCAGCAGTGCCTAAAAACTCTATTTATACAGTAACACTGTCTGTGGGATGTTAAAGTTTCCATCTAGTCACTGTCGTGCTGCTCCACTTTTGCTGCGGGTAATGGGAGTAGTGATTCTAATTCATTTCTGTCCATGATCTTGATCTAATTAAAGAGCTCATCCCTGCCACCTCATTTTCATAAGCTGTTCCTTTCAATTACATCTGACAAGTGAACACAGACACACATTAACCTCCAGCATGAAGCGGCGCTGTGCTGCTTCCCTCCACATCTCTGCACGTCGTCCAGTAACAGAGAGGACAAAGGTAATTCCACCTCTCTCAGTTTTTGACATTACTCACTGACACATGCAGGTTTTTGGTACAGATGACAGGTTAGTGTCATGCATGTTTTGTAATGTGTGTTTGGTCATTCACCACCACAACACTAAAACCGGTAACTGGTTTGTATGCTGTGGCTGATTTGTGTATGACTGACTATGACAGCACATTCTTATTTTTTACCTTCCACAAAAACTGTGAGAAACCGGTGAGTCTGCAGAGATCTGAATACTGAATGAAACTTAACTCAAAATAACTCCAGGCTATGCGTCTTTTTTGAGGAGGGAAATGAACCAGACCTGATTTATCCACCTAAATCATAATGGAGCTCATACAAAATTGATTGACTTTACTAGGACATAACATCTTGTACTGTATGACACTGCAGGCATGTAACACCGACTGTCGTATCGGTGGCTGCTATGAAAATACGATATTGTGGGAAATACATTCATATGCTCAATGGTTTTGCCAGAAAGTCACAGCTCATAACTTCCTGAAAACAGAAACTTGTCATTTATATTTTTCATGTGGAAAGAAATGAGTTGCAGTGTTCATATGAGTCAGTTTATGAGAGAGCGAAATAATCTGCTGCCCCCTGCCTACATGTCTATATGCTAAACTAAGCTACTCGCCTCCTGGATCCAGCTCCATTAGAGAGATATCGACCTTTTAATCTAAATCTATATGTGAGAGCACATGAGATTATTTCCCGGGAGGTTTAACTATTCTGTTAACATTTGTTTAATACAAGCTGTTAAATAGTTTAACTATGTGTAGAACTACAACATTTAATTTAGAGAGTCAAGGAAAAAAGGCATAAAGCCAATGACTGTATTGACTTTTTTTTGTTTGTTTTTATCTCCTCTCACCCAGATCTCCACTGGGCCAAGGAGCTTCAACTCCCAGCACACAAAGCAACAGTAGCCCACATCCCCCGCACCCCATACCCATTATTTATGAATGGGAGTGGTGCCTCTCTCCGTCCTCTTGTAGTTTTGCAATGTGCACGACAGATCTATTTAAGATGGGAACACAGATGGCTCTCAAGGCCCAATGCAGCACACAACCACTCAGAGGAAAAGTGAGCTCTTGGGCAATTAGTGTCATTATGGCTGCTCATGTGCTCATGTGTTCAGCTACATGCGACATCTATTGCACTTCTCTCCGTGCTGGGAGGTGGATCCCTCACACCTGGCTCTCTCTGAGGTTTTTTACATTTTTCCCCTTGTTAATCTGTTTTCTTTTGGTAGATTTCCTTTTTCTTGTTAAAGGTCAAGAACAGAGGATGTCGCACCTTGCTAAGCCCTATGAGACAAATAGTAATTTGTGACTATGGGCTATACAAATAAAATGTGATTGATTGGTTGAAGGCCCCACAGTTTCCTTAAATTCAATCAAGCTGCACCAAATTTCCCAAATTCACTGATATAAATTTTCTAAATATGCCAGATTTTTCCCAGGAATGAATCCATGGGAAATCAGCGAAAATTAGAAAAACCCAACTGAAGTTGTAAAAAAAATGCACCAAAATTGAAAAGCTCCTTCCCTCAGCCATATCTTATACTTCCACCAAGTTTCTTAGTAATCCATGCAGAACCTTTTGCATTAACTTGCTGACAAACAAACAGAACCTTCTTATTGGAGGTAATGAGAGAAAACAAAGTATCCTCACATTTCACATAGAGCCAGTAAATAGGCTTTGATGCACTATCAAGCACTAAATGACTTTAATAATTAAATGCTTATTAAAATTGTTGTATACTAATTCTCTGTCAAGCATCGAATGAATTAATTCACACATAATTTCAGCACTTTGTGGTTTGAAGCACATGCCATGGAAGTACTCAACTTTTATCTGTTGTTACGCTATAAATAAATTCTAAACGTTTTTTGCCAATATATTATATCAGACATTACTGAAATGTAAAAGTTCTTAAGTTAAACACACACACACACAGAAATACCCTGACACTCGACGACACACATGTGGCAACAAGGTCAGGTGCGGTTGTAAACAGGAGCCTAAAGGCGAACAATAGCGTCTCTGAGATATTCAGCTCATGGACGTCTGGGGGAAACCCTCACTCTGAGTCTGTTGTCATCGTCTTAAACCTTGCTAATACTCTGTTTATGCTACATGCGCACGTGTGTTTGCGTGTTCGTGTGGGAGTGTGACATCTACCATTCTCCTCTTATTGCCCAAGCTAAGCTATTGAGAAAACAAATGTCAGTTGAAGGGCGTTGTCTGTTTAGTGTCTGACTTTCCTATTGCTACTCGGAGCAAATCTAATTTGATTACGAGCATTATTGAAGGAAAAGCATTGAGGGAGAGAGTTTATTGTAAAACACAGGTCCAGCGATGACAATGCAGAGATGAGAGGGAGTAAAACGGAGAGAAATAGAAACTGAGTGATTTTGTGTGTGAGGGAGACAGAGAGACTCCAATAGAGTGAAAGAGAGAGTCTTCCCATGAGGCAGCAGACTCTGGATCAGTGCCTGCTATACCACTGTCATCTGTGAACTGCTTTTCTACACGCATGGAGGTCGGTGTATCTCGTGACCCTCGGACATCATCGTGACCAAACTCCTAGCGTGTGGCCCCCTGCCGATCTCCCACTCCCCTCCACCTCCCTCATCCTGCACCTCCATCTTCCGCTATTCCCATAACCTTCTCCTCCTCACCCTCATCTCTCCCTCTCTCTACCCCTCTCTTCTTTTTCCTCGCCAAAGCGCAGCTAGACGCTGGGCCTCTGCCACCTCCAGGAAAACAGACGACAGTGTTTTGGTTTTGTTTTTTTCTCCCCCCTCTGCCGCAGACCCCCCTCTAGGAGAGGTCTGTCTGCCTGGGAGGAGAGGGGGAAATGAGAAGGATTGATTAATTTAAAACGCATGCTCTCCTCTTTTTTCTCCACTGAGCCCCCCCTTCAAGAGGACACGTCTGCTCAATAGAGAGATCGAGAGGAGGACCATGGGAGCTCATTCATCAAGCCATGTATTCCATTATAAATAATGTGTGCGATGTGCAAACAAGTCCTGAGTTGTGGCCTTTTACCAGGACTGCTATTGTGAGTTCTGTGAAGACGTTTTGATGATGGAACGGTAACGAGATTGACACGTTAAAGCTCGGCCAAATGGACAGCGATTCTTTTGTTGTCCTTATAATGAAAACACAGCTCTGTCTTCTGTTGCTTTAAAAGCAGATTGAACATTTCAGCATTCGTGTCACACAGACACACTAATGTGCTCTTGAATGAATTTAGTTTATTGTATAAAAAAACAAGATGATGCCATTCAGTTGTGTTTTGTAACATTTTTTTTCAAATCAAAACACAACAATATTTTTTTTCTCCCTTTTCCATCTTAGATTAGAAACAGCAGTGTCGCTCCCCAAAATAACCGAAGTGGAATTCACAAAACAACTGGACACCGGGCGTTCTGATATCAGATCAGACCAAAGATAAGGGACAGATACACCCTGATGCCTTGTGACCACGTGCATGAGCACTACCAGACCACATGTCATTCTCAAGTCAGATGCTAGGCCGGAGTGAACAAGCCTTCCTTTTATCACTAACTCAGTTATTCAATTATTTCAGCCTCTTCATGCATCGCAGAATGTTCAGCTTTCTTACAC